CAATGCTCTCTTAAAAAGAAAAAAAAAGACTTCAATATATTGTTTACTATAAAGTAAAAAGAAAATGCACTGATCCTTGGTCCCATTTCCCAGACGTAACACACCTCAACGTTAGTTACGGTGTTTATTATTCTAGACCTTTTTCTCTAGACATTTGATTGGTTGGTCAATCTGCAAATATATACATATAATATATATATATTTTTAAAGATTTTTATTGGGGAATTGGGGTGATGGGAACAGCGCTGGGGAATTGGGGGAAGGGGAACAACTTGCTGTTGTTTTGTTCTTCAGTCTAGTTGTGGAGGACGTTGCTTCACTGGCCCAATTTGGCACCATCATTGCACTCTTCCCGGGCGAGGCAGATCAGTCGCCGGCTTCTGGACGGCCGCTCACTGCGGCTGCTGGCTACACACGGTAGCCCATGGCAACCCACTGCAGCAGGGGCTGCAGCCTACCCCGTCGCCGGCGACTCACGGCAGCCCAGCTCCAGGTTGAGCTGTTGATCAGCATCTTAGCTGTGGAGGGCAGTGTCACTGACCCTCATATGTGGGATCTGAACCGGGGCCCTCTGGCGTCCCAAGCCAGTTCTTAACCATCGCGCCACTCGGCTGGTCCAATCTGCAAATATTTACTGAGCATCTATTCTACACCAGGCACTGTATCAGGAGCTGAGGAAAATAGTGAACAAAACAGACAAACTTGGAGGGAAGGTTCATTCAAACAATAAACACATATGTAACATACATATTGCATGTATAGGTTTTCTTATTACACAATGGGATACGGTAAATATTCTTTAATATTTATGCAGTTTAGAAAATGAAAAATCCCCCAAATAGAAAGAAAAATAAAAACCCATCCGCTTTAGATTCATGATCTGAAGAGAGTTGTGTCTTATAGTTTTGTATAATACCTTATAGTTGTATATTTGCATATAGTTTTATTTTATTTTACAAAGTCATGATCACACTGAAAGCATAGTTTTTTCTTCTTTTTTATTGCACAAGCAATGCAAACATAACACATAAAAACAAAATCCCTTGTAAATCTACTACTTAGAATTAATCATTGCTAATCTTTAATATACATCATTTTTTAAAAAACAACCTAGAGTTTAGGATCACACTGAAAATGTCACTGAGTAACTGACTCTGAATTCCTAATATATCTCTGCATCGATAATTATAATTCTACACTGTCATTTTCATGGCTGTAGACTTGATCGTCACATGAGTTCAACATCATGGGATCAACCGGTCTCCTTTTCTTGAAGCTTAGGATATTTCCAATTTTTTATTTTTATAAGAACCAAATGAATGAAGCAAAATGTTTGCACATATTCTTAGTTATCTGAGTATGATAACTGAGTATGTTTTTATTCACTCATGTTGTAACTACAACGAAATGTTGATCCCAGTAGTCTTTGATGGTATTCTACAAGATCATTATTTTTTTTACACTTTTTTGTTTTCTCTAAATGCTTTGCAATGAACAGGTTTTATTTGCATAATCACAACATCACCTAAAATTATGCCATGTAAAAATTTCCAGATTACCAGTTTTCGTAGTGATGCACTTTTATGGCTACCTGTAATTCCATCTAGGGGATAGGCCATAATTCACTTAACCATCCCCTGTCTTTGGCTGTTTGGTTTCTTTCCCAACGTTTTCAAGATTGTTAAACAGGATCCCCACTCCCAACAGCTTTCACATCTTTGGTACATCCTGCCAAACTTCTTTCCTGAAAGGATGTTCCAATTTCCACTCCCTCAGGTAGCATGTGACAACGCCCACCCAGCCACCATCCTCTCCTGGAGACAGATGGTTAAGACCCCTGGACGGTTGCTGTCTCTGCCAAGGGGGCAGGAGAGAGCAGGAAATGGTTGGCAATGCCAGCATGATGACCCCAGGGGAAGAACCGCAGGAACGAGTTTTAACAAGCCCGGTTCCCAGGGCAGAACCTGCAGAGAAAAAGAAAAGCAAGCAAGCAGGAAAACAAAACAAAAAAACTCTCTGCTGGAAAAAACACACATGTACACAGATTAAAATAATATTTGGCACTTATGCCACACTTTAAAATTCTTCAAACACTTTATAAACACTAGCTAATTAATTAAGCCACCTAAATCTGGCTGCAGTTGGTGGAGAGAACTTTTAAAAAAGGGGGTGGGGGCAGCCCTCCACAGCTCCAGATTTTATTGTCACCTGCCCGGGTGTGATTGCTGGCCTCGGCTGCACCACAAGAATAGCCCTGCTCCGACGCGCCACACGCCTGACACCGCAGCCTTCTCTCCTGCTCACACCGCTCCCCTCACAGCGGCTGACTCACAGCCCTGTGTGGTGTTATTGATAAGGATAATAATAACTGCCATGAATTACAGGAGCCGCCTGTGGGCCAGGCGCAGTCCCAGGCTGCAGGCTTGCCCGTCGGCTGGGTGTATATGCCTGTAGCAGCCCCTTTAACAGACAAGGAAAGAGGCTCAGAGAAGGCATGTGCCCAGGAGCAAGTAAAAGCCCTCCTTCAATCACTCATTCATGCGTTCATTCAGTATGTGTTTATTAAGGGCCTGGTGTGTGCCAGACACTGGCGTAGGCAAGGGGTTGGAAACAGTCCCTTGTGGGTCCTACATCCTGGTTGTGGGGACATGACAATCTAGAGAAAATCAAGTAAATACTAGTATATCTGTGATCATAATGGGAATCAAATCTAAAATTTAACCAGCACCTCTGCGGCAGGCATTTATGTCCAGCTGTGTCACAGTCCTCATGACTATCCTGGGGGTGGTGGGGGGTGGCGGTGCCCCATTTGTGGAAGGTGGAGTGGAGGCCCAGGGAGGGCGGGTGCTGAGCTTGCTAAAGGGGGAGCCTGTGCTCTCCCCAGTCCTGCTCGCTCCAGCCTGTGCTGCCTCCAAGAGGCATTCCCAGCTCCTCCAGTCGTCATGCTGGAATGCAGACCCGTTGGGAATGTACCTGGCTGGATGCTGTTGGCAGTTGCTGGTGCCGCCTCAGATGTCCCTGGGTCACTGTTGGCCTCTTTTGGCCTCTGTGTGCCTCTCACACACCTGCCCACCTGCTCCACGTGAGCCCCTGTCCCTGTGAGCTCTGGTTTCTTCCCTGCACTGTGAGCACTGGGCCATCGTCAGGCTGTCACTCCGAGTCTCTGCTCATCTGCCATGAGAACCAGGTGGCCCCGGCCTGGGAGTCAGAGCTGGGGGGAGGGGAGGGGCGGGAGGAAGGAAGGGGAGAATGTTGCGAGACTCGTCCTGAGGCCCTGGGCTTGCCCACAGTGAGCGCAGACTGGAGTCCAGGGCCTCCCTTCTCTCCGGTGCCCTGTCCCTGCCAGTAGGGTGGTCCCAGGCCACAGGCTGGTGGGCAAATTCATACGGTCTCTCTCCTGCCCTGCCAGAGCCTGAGGGGGCTATTCAGGGCATCAGCTGCAACCCTGTCTTATGTACAAGGCAAAGGTGATCTAGGTCGTCAGGACAGGACAAGGTCACATCATAGGTGAGAGGAGCACCCAGGCGAAGGTCATATGGCCTGTCTGCTCCTACACCAGGCTGCCGCCTCCACATCTGTCTCAGGTTCTCACTCTGTCTGTCTGCATCTCCCACTGCCTATCTCTGTAGTTCTCATTCTCTCTCTCCCTCTCTCTCTCTTTCTCTCTCTCCCCCGCCCCCCGCACCTCTCTGTTTCTCCAAAGTCTTTATAATGTCCTTTTCCCCTACCCCCCACCTTGTTCAGAGTCAGGGTCCTGGCTGTGCCTTGCTCTGAGCACCTGCAGCATATCTCACACAGCTTCACCTGCCTCGCCTTCCTCTGCCTGTGTCCTCACCTCCTCCTCCCATCTTCTCCGCCCAGAACCCCTGTCTTATGTGCTCCAGTCCTCCCAGTTTGGGGCTCAGGCCCCTTCCCTCCACCGACCTTCCTGACTCCTTCCAACTGCACCACCTGCGAGCCCTTGGGGTCTGAACTGGTTCTATCCCTAGCACCCAGCACAGGCCTGGCCTGCAGGACCCTCAGCAAGGGTTGGAAGAAATGAAGTTTGAGCAACAGACCCTCCTTCGTTTATTCATTGTGTAATGACAGTAGCTTCCCTGTGCCCAGCTTGGTGCTAAGTGACAGAACAGAGGGCTAGGGGATATCTACCCATCTTGTAGATGAGGAAACTGAGGCTCAGAACCAGTGGATAAACTAGGGCACATGTGACTAGAGGGTGAGCCAGGTTTCAAACTGTGTCAGACATCTCCAAAGACCAGCCGCTTCTTTTGACACTGTCCTGGCCCAGGCTTGTTGGATGGTCCTACCAGAGATCCACCAAGACAGGGTCATATAATTTTTGGTAGATGAGACTGAGGCTCAGAGGGCGGTAAAGGGACCTGCCCAAATAAAGGGCAGCACTCACATGTGGAGCTTGGCAGTGCTGAGTGCACATGCAGGGATACCCATTGGATCTTCTCTGTGGCCCGAGCGATGGCCAAGGTCACACAGCAGTAAGCCCTGAGCCAGGACCGACACTCACTATCCAGGCTGGACCAGGCCCACCTGCTGAGAACAGCTTCCCTGCTCAGGGCCTGCTTCCTGGGCCAGCCAGAAACAGAATCTAAACTCTCATAGAACCATCCACACATCATGCTCCACCCACCTCTGAGCCTTTGCCCAGGCTGTTCCTTCTGTCAGGAACACTGTGCCCCTTAATTCCTGGTAAATTCAGATTTGAATTCAGAGCCCAACTCAGACATGACCCTTCCAGAGAGGGCTCAGCACTCACACCCACTCTCTGCCACATCACTTAACCTCCCTGTGCCTCAGTTTCCTCATTTGTAACAGGGTCTCACAGGCTCATTGTGAGGGTTGCACACGATGACACATGCAATGTACTGAGCTCCAGGCCCACACACAGAGTGGGCTCAGTCAGCGAAAGCTTTTGTTGATAAACACTTGACAAAACCCACAGGATCACATAAGGATGAATAAATACCTGCTTTGTTTCCCTTCAGGAGTGGCAGGTGAGAAGGACCTGCAGGTGATTCAGCCTGTAAGGCCAGTGTCAGTCGCAGCTGGAGAGACGGCCACTCTGCTGTGCACTGTGACCTCCGTGTACCCCGTGGGGCCCTTCCGGTGGTTCAGGGGGACAGGGCCAGGCCGGGAGTTAATCTACGGTTTCAAACAAAGTGAGGCAACCCGCTTCCCTCGAGTAACAACTGTTGCAGACACCACAAAGGGCAACAACATGGACTTTTCCATCCGCATCAGTAACATCACCCCCGCAGACGCCGGTACCTACTACTGTGTGAAGTTCCGGAGCCAAGACCCTGAAAACGTGGCGTTTAAGTCTGGACCAGGCACCCAGCTCACTGTGAGTGGTGAGTACAGTGTGGGACCCTCATCCCTGATGTGTGACAACAAGTCAATAAGAGCGACCTTCGTTCTTTGAACAACAACTAAGAATCAGGTGCCAAAGGGGGTGCTTAATAGCCATGATCTGGTTCATGGTCTGATTTCATCCCTTCTACAGATCAGGGTCTCTGAGGCCTGGAGAGGTGGCGCTACTTGCTCAGGCCCCACGGCTGGTAAATGGCGGGGAAAGTCAGTTACCCCCGTCTGCCTGGCTCCGCAGCCCGTGCCTTTTCCAGTCTCTTCTAGCACCTTGGTTCCAGAGATTAGGGAACCAAGAGGTCTCGTTTGTGTTTTGCAAGCCAACTTGTCAAACTTGTTTCCTGAGGGGATTATTTAAAAAGGAGGGAGTGAATCATAATTCGGTGGTTTCTCTGCTTCTATCATTTGGTTTTTTACAGCAGCTGCAGGGAGCAGGATTTGAGACTCTTCTCGGTGTTTCTGCTATGCTTTTGCCTTCTTACTGCCTATAGAGCAAACAGGTAGTTTCAGAACCAGTAAGACCAGATTTTATGACAACAGTCATAGGTGTTATTTATTAAGCACCTACTGTGTGCCAGGCTCTGAGCTTTACATACATCCTCACTCATCTCACCAGGCTGGTGTTTTGATCCACTTTGTGCAGAAACAGACACTGAGGCTCATGGATGAAGAACAGAGATGCTAAAGTCAGTCAGCCCCGTGTGCAGTGAGACGCGCTCTGCCCTTTACTCGCTATGTGCTCTCAGCCAGCCACGTTCCTCCCTGAGCCTCACCCACAAGTGGGACCACACAGGGCCTCCCTCAGGGGATGGCGGGAGGATGAAGAAGCTGAGGCGCGTGCAGCGATCAGCCGAGTGTCAGGCTCCGAGATGCTCTTAATAGATGGTAACTGAGCCCAGCGTCTCATCCCTTTAGGGGAGTCCAGCTGCTGGTGTTTTCATGACTTGACTCATTCAAGTGACACCCCCTTACTATGTCCTCACAATGTTTGATGAGTTTTAGGAAGTAAGTTAAATATTTACAATGCAAATATTTGTCATATTTGCTTTCAGCCCACTGTTACAGAAGGTGTTGGGTAATAATTAACAATATGGACACGCCCTACAGAGCCCTTCTACAGGGAGAAACTGCCCTCACTCTTGATTCATTGGTGTGTGGATGCTTTCAGGACACAGGAGTCCTGCCTGCTTCTGGGCCTGTGTCTGCGTCTCTTCTAATTTAATAATGATTAAGAAATTACCCACCTTTGGCTTTCTCAGCACTCAGTGATCTTTGTTTTCAACCCACAACTGACCCAAGAGAAGAACCCAGATTCAGAAAAAAACATCCATCCCTTTGTCCTCTTCCTTCCAATTCAGGGATGGGCACAGATAAGAATATCTGTGGAAAGAATGAAAACTATGGAATAAATCAATAAATTCCTAAGGAAAGAGATCTGGATATAAAGAAAGTCTGGGTTCAGATAGACCTGTGTTTGTTTATTTAGGGGAAGCATCTTCTGTTTCACTCAAAGAAAAATGCTTCCGTTGCCTGATTGAACCCTCACTGCAGCCCCGGGAAGGAGAAATACCTGCTGCCCCATTTCACAGAAGGAGCTGGAATGTTCCCCCGTCACCCCTCTGGTCAGCTGGTCAGCCTGGTTCCCGCCGTCATGGCGGCCCCGCTCACCATTGCTTCCCCTGCATTTACTTCTGTAAACGCTTTCTCTGAAGTTGGGAAGGTTTNTGTGTTCTTTTATTTTGGGGAAGCATCTTCTGTTTTACTCAAAGAAAAGTGCTTCCGTTGCCTGATTGAACCCTCACTGCAGCCCCGGGAAGGAGAAATACCTGCTGTCCCATTTCACAGAAGGAGCTGGAATGTTCCCCCGTCACCCCTCTGGTCAGCTGGTCAGCCTGGTTCCCGCCGTCATGGCGGCCCCGCTCACCATTGCTTCCCTGCATTTACTTCTGTAAACGCTTTCTCTGAAGTTGGGAAGGTTTCTAGGGGAGGCCACTTAGGAACAGTTAATACGAAGAGGAGGATCCATCAGTAATTTTGTTTCTGTGTCCAGTTTGGTGTGAAATCACCCGGCAGAGAAAAGAAGGTGGACTTTGAACTCAGGCCTGGAATCGCATGTTGGCCCTGCCCCTTACTTACAGGTTATCTTTGGGGACCTGTGTGTCCTTCTCTGTAAGATGAGGATGATGACACCACCCTCCCAGCACTATTAGAAGGATTTAAAAATAATATATGAGAAGGTTCTTAACAGTGTTGCACACTTATCCTTAGTGGTGATAATCACAATTATGTTTATTGTTCATTTTATAGCCAAACCCTCTCCCCCCGTGGTATCAGGCCCCACGGGGAGGGCCCCGCCTGGGCAGACAGTGAACTTCACCTGTGAGTCCCATGGCTTCTCCCCCCGAAACATCGTCCTGAAATGGTTCAAAGATGGGAATCAGCTCCCAGCCTCCCAGACCACCGTGGACCCAGAGGGAGACAGCGCTTCCTACAGCGTCTCCAGCACAGCCAGGGTGGTGCTGGCCCCGGGGGACGTTCGCTCTCAGGTGGTCTGTGAGGTGGTCCATGTCACTCTGCAGGGGAGCCCTCCTCTTCGTGGGACTGCCAACTTGTCTGAGACCATCCGAGGTAGATCCCCTCCCACCCAGAGAAGCCCACTCCTGGCCCCCAACCTCCAAGCCGGCTCCTCCCCCTGCTTTTTGCTCCAGGCCTGGAATTGCCTGGAATCTAATTCCTGACAGCCCTTCCCATAACCAGGCACCTGGATGTGCTGGTCACTCACTACTGTTTAATGGCAGCTGCCAGGTGAACACCTACCACTGTGTAGGTACTTTCATTGCTTTAGCAAGACCAACTCCAGTTACTGAGCACCTGCTGTGAGCCAAGCCCCTGTGTGCTTGGTGATTTCATTTGTTTTACTACAGTCAGTGCATTCCTACTGAAAGCCAGGGCCAGTGCTTTTTCAATTCTTTCATCTTACCCTAATAGGAGCTACCAGTCCTTGAGCACCTACTGTGTGCAAAGCATTGTGCTTAGTGATTTCATTCACATGCAAGGAGCACCCTCAGTGTTTGAGCACCTGCTGTATGCCTGGCAGTGTCCTGGGTGACCCCCTTGCTGTGGTGGGGGGAACTAAGTGATGGAGCCCTCCCCTGTGATCTGTCTGTTCCGTGAGGTCAAAGCTTCTGCCTGTGCTGTTTCAGTTCCGCCCACCGTGGAGGTTACCCAACACCCTGTGTCGGGGAACCAGGTGAACGTCACCTGCCAGGTGAAGAAGTTCTACCCCCAGCGCCTACAGCTGACCTGGTTGGAGAACAGAAACTTGTCACGAACAGAAACGGCCTCGACCCTCACAGAGAACAAGGACGGAACCTTTAACCAGATGAACTGGCTCCTCGTGAATTTATCTGCCCACAGGGAGGAGGTGGGGCTCACCTGCCAGGTGGAGCACGATGGGCAGCCGGCGGTCACCAAACACCTTACCCTGGAGAACTCTGTCCACCAGAAGGACCAGAGCACAGATGGATCCTCTGGTGAGGCTTCACTCCAACAGACCTGGCTTTTTAAATTATTCTTTTTTTTTTAATGTTAAGAGTAGTAATTCCTGTTTATTATAGAATAATCTAGAAGTCTATAGATAGAAAGCAGAAGTTTTAAGTGAGCTCCCCTTCCCCACACTCCACACTCCAAGAGTCGCCACCAGTAAGAGTTAGTGCATATTCTTATAGATCTTTTGACATCAATATATTTTGAAGAAAGAGAGAAAGGAAGAAGGAGCTATCTGTTCACAGCGTCCTGCCCCTGGCTTTCTTCACCTAACCGTTTTGCGCTCACCATCCGTGTCAGCCCACCCCCTCCTCCTTACTCTTTCTATCTGCTGCCTCGTCTCCCTGGCTGCCACTGCAAGCCTGCCCCAGTGAGAATGGGGCAGGGGCTTCAGGATGTTTGTGCTTTTCTCAAGCATAATCACTGCTTCAATAAATGTCCTTGTACACATGCTGTTACATGTGCAGCTATTTCTGTGGGACAATTTCCCAAAGAGCATTTCTAGGCCTAAGTCCATGCCCATTTAAGATGATGGTAATGCTGCCTCTCCTGGGAGAATAAAAGGTGTCAGAGTGTCATTTTCTCAGCCCACTTCGAACCTGTGGTCAATATATCTCTCTTCTTTCTTCAAAATGGCAGCACTAGTCGGCATTTCAGTGCCACCGTGGAATGTTCCATCACCTGTCATTAGCATGGCTATGCCTTGTACATAGCAGACCTTCTGAAAAGATTAGAATAGAGATCATTTCTCTCCTTCACGCATCCTTCAGGGGAACAGGGTCGCTCTAAAGAAGCTTATGGTCCTATCAGGGTGTCCCTTTAATGTCACTGATGCCTGCCTTTCATAGGACAAGCACTGCACGGGGAGAGAGGATATGTGGATAAATCTCTGGCTCTGTCACAAACTTGCTGGGTGACCTTGAACAAGCCAGTGCCTCTCTCTGGCCTCTTCACTTGCTCATGGCAGTGCTGAATGAGATGAGCTTTCTGACCCTCAGCTTTGAGTCTCAGCTGCTGGGGACCATGGCTGTCTTCTTCAGCATCGTAGCGTCAGGACCTGGCACACAGACTGGCACATTGTAGGCACCCAGGAAATATTTTTTAAAAGGATGAAAGAATGGATTAGTTGGTTGATGAGTTAGTTAGCGAGTTAATCCTCGGAGCTATCCAATGAGGTAGAGATTATTTTTGGCCTCAGTAACACAAGAGGAAGCCAGCGTGTGGAGTAAGGTTTAAATGACTTGCTCCAGGTCACACAGCTAGGGGCATTGATTTGAACCCACACTTCCACAGCTCAGAGCCCGGCTCCCGACTACCCACTATGCTCTAGTACGGGATCCCCTACCTGTGCCCTGGGCCCACCCAAGTCTTTGTCTTCATTATAAGTGTCCTGGGTTCAGAGCTCCTATGCCCAGGTCCCAGACACAGATCCGTGGACAGCCCCTGAGACCCCTGCAGAGTCCATTAGTCATCAATCACATCTGACATTCCTCACCATCCCTT